GGCTCCTTGCTGCCCCCCTTTACTTTGGTGTGTGATGTTCGTTAGGTTGTAAGTTGTAAACTTCTATTTCATTCTTTGCTATGAAATGATAGTGTGGAAACTCTAATTTTTTTTTTTTAAATCCTGAAATTGTTTTTAAGGCAGGATAGTATTTAGGATTTGCTAATTGGAAATCCCTGGTTGGTTCAAGTAGTTAATGCATTTAGCTGCTAATTAGAAATCCCTGGTTGGTTCAAGCAGTTAATGCATTTAGCTGCTAACTGAAAGGTTGGAAGTTTGAGTCTATCTGGAAGTGCTTCAAGACGGCCTGGCTAGCTACTTCCCCCAAATCAGCCATTGACAACCCTCCAAGTGTACTTCTGTTCTTTTACAAATGGGTCACTATTAGTTAGAGTTGCCTTGATGGTCACTGTGTGTGTGTGTGTGTATGTGTGTGTTTTAGATGTACTTGAAACAACTGCTTCATCTACTTAAAGTGTTTCAATGTAGACTTTCAATATTTAGTTAGAAGGGACTATGGAAAATTTCAAGCATGTCCCAAAGTAACATAGTGTAATGGATGCCTATGTATTCTTTTTTTAATAGCCATGGGTATTTTTTCAGTTATTGCTCCTTCTCTGCCTGCCCTTCTCTGTCCCACCTTTTTTTCTGAAATATTTATAAAACCAATCCACAATATATGCTTTCAAGGTCAGCAGTTCGAACCCACCATTCGCTCTATGATAGAGAGATAAAGGTGTCCACTTCCAGTTTCAGAAATCCAAAGGGTCAGTTCTACTCTGTCCTGTAGGGTCACTATGAGTAACAATGGCCTCAATAGCAGTGAGTTTGGAATATGTATTCAACTACATGATATATTTCAAACATAAGAAAATTTTTGCTATGATCCATCCTACTTCATTACAATGTTTCCCTCAACCATTGATGATCCCAAACCAAAAAACCAAACTCATTGCCTTCAGGTCCCACAGTGACCCTACAGGACTAAGAAGAACTGCTCCATAGAGTTTCTGAGGTTGTAACTTTGCAGAAGCAGATAACTTCAGAGAATGGCTGGGTTTAGTGGCCCAGAGCTTCACCTACCTGTGGTGCCACTAGAGCTGGCTGAGGTTCACAATGGGTTGCAGAAATAGAGTTTTCTAATTCTGTCATTCTTTCTGCATTTATTAGTAATGATTTTTCCACACAGAATAACTTTTCCTCATCAACTTTGGAGTTACCTGAAATAAAACTCATACAGGAATGGCAGTATAGACAATTGGTTCCTTTAGCTATCAATTTTCAGAACCATGAGTTAATGTTACAGTCAGTTCCTTAATTAACAAATAAATTATTATAACTATATTATGAACTCATGGATATTTTCTGTTTTTGTTAATTACTGTTACCATTATTTTCAAATTGTTCCCTCTTTGGGCAGTGAAGGCCCCATAGAGTTAGCTGTTACGTCACTTTGACATGAGAGTAATACTCCTTTGAGGTACATTTTCAGTCCTGGTACCTGGTGTTTAATAGTGGGAAATGATACTTAGCGACAATGACCTGGTTGTGGAAGTGCTGACTGTTACACAGATCAGTTACTAGTGTTTTTAGGTGTTTTCAGTAGGTTGACTTACTTAATGTGAACTTTGTTTTTTCAATTGTATTTAGTGTGAGCAAAATAAAGTCATAACTTTCTATAGCTATTTCCAACTCAGACGGAAGGTTATAGAATTTTTACTAGACTTTTCTGATTGTTGGTGGAATTTTAAGTACGATAATATTTGTTTTCCAATTCCTTGTAAATTATGTATAGTAGGGCTGTTAATATATAACTCAATTATTAGAAGTGCTATCCTATGTATAATAATTAAAAGATATTTTTACTATATTAGGGAAGATAGACTTTAAAACAAGTTTAAACATAGTTTTAAAATAATTAGATTAAAAAAAATAATTAGATTTTATAATTTTCATCAGATTGAGTACATTGTTGTATGATGATCATATGATTATTAATGAATAGAATGCTGAATTATTGCCTATGACTAGACTTCTAGGTCTGCTTTTTTCTGCAGTTTTTTCCCCCCGATTTTTAAATATAATTTGTTGTTTTATTATTTTATGTTTTAGATCCTGGCTGTTCGAACAATTAATGAGAAACTTCTTTATTTTTTACCTGCCGGTGAAGAGAAAATCATAGGCCTGGCTCGAGTGTTTGAGCCTTTTACTGGTCTGAATCCTGTGCAATATAATCCGTATACCGAGGTTAGGTATCTATGTGTTAACATATTCATATGATTTCCTGTTTGTGCTATTACTTTTACAAATGATACATTCAAGCATAGTAAAGTCAATGGTTGTCAATTTGTTTTAGCCTTTGTGGAAAGCTGCAGTCTCTCAATATGAAAAAATCATTGCACCCGCAGAACAAAAAGTAGCAGGAAAGTTGAGAAATTATATTTCAGAAATTCAAGACAGCCCACAGCAGGTAAACTAATTCCCTTAAGCTCTGTATGTATTACTAAGTTGAATATTTGCAGTGAACCTACACTTGTTTATTTTCTCTTAGCTTCTTCAAACATTTCTGAAATATAAAGAGTTGGTGAAGCGTCCAACTATAAGCAAAGAATTAATGTTAGAAAGAGAAACTTTACTGGCAAGACTTGTGGACTCTGTTAAAGGTAAGCATTTACTGGAGATTATAGTGCTTACTATAGCAGTTTACTTATTTCTTATTGTATGTCGGGAAATTAAAGCCACATATTCTGACATGTAGATGCTGAAAAGTAGTTAACTGCCATATTTTTCTGTGTAACTGCCAAGTAAATAATGCATGCACAAAAAGTGTGCTCATACAGAAATAATGTGCACACACACATAGAACACTTAGTTTGAATAGGTAGTGATGGAGGAGATTGCATTTTTGGTAAATACCGTATATTGTATGGTGTTTGTGTGAAAACATGGCTGTTTTTCTATAAAAGATATTATTGTACTAACATCTTGTTTCCCTTCTCTTTTTCACTTGATACATGACAAGATCCTTGAGGGTTTGACTCAACCAATTTTCTATCTGCAACATTTTATGTAGGCTTGATTTATGTAAGACACTTAGGAAACGTTTGCTTAATGTATATAATCATCTTATTTGAAATAAATATTATAGATTTTCGAATAGACTTTGAGAATCGGTGCCGAGGAATTCCTGGTGATACATCTGGACCTCTTTCTGGGAAAAATTTGTCAGAAGTTGTCAACAATATAGTTTGGGTCCGCCAGTTGGAGCTGAAGGTACAGGTTTTAATAAAATTTGAATGCTAATTTTAAGATGGGATCAATTATGACCTTGAAAGGCACTCTAGAACTGTAGTGAGAACATTAAAAATATTAGTTTTTCCCAGCAAACCCATGTGATTTTCAATGTAAATGCAAACATCTGAAAAAATGTGCTGAGGAAGTTCTAATGATTTGGCTTCATTCTTGTGTAGAGATAATCGTCAAATCACTTAGCATTCCTCATGTCTACTTAAACATTTTTATTCAGAATGGAAACATCTTTATACTGTATTAAAAAAATCCTTTGAAAATATATCATTTAAAAATGTTGATAGCTGCAAAATCTATTTGCAGGCATATTTGTGTAGCTAAATTACTTCAGGTTGAAAGGAAGAATGGTAG